CTGGCTCTGTGGTGACATGGTTGGAGTTGATTAACGCGAGACTAATTGCTCAACCTCCTGAGCACTTCACCTCCCTGTTCCACTAGCGAACTCGTAATGCGGGATGGCTTTGACTTCTTGGCGAGGAAAAATCCAACTTTCGCAGCTGTGTTGCATACGCAAGTCGTCAGATGACGGTCCGCTCTCCGTACTACGCGTTAGAAAAATATTACCTGGTTATCTAGATCAGCAGCATATATAGTTGAATACCCTGAACTGCACCTTCCATCTGACGTAAAACCTTTGTCATTACCATGTTCGGCGCTTTTTCGTAGAAGAAAGATGAGAACAATGTTGGATAGCAGAGGCGAAAGCTCATTTCCTTTGCGAAGTCCACAAAATAAGCTACTACTCAGATAGCTCTTATTTTTTTCAACAGACATAGTTCCTGCATGCAGCTGGTCCAAAACCAGGTATCCCATAGCATTTCTAGATTTTCCATATCGTCAGACGATGTGGTATATCGAAGGCAGCTTTAAAGCTGGGAAAACCGGCGAAGCAAGCACAATTGAAATCGTCGAATTTGCTCAATAATTCAGATTGAAACTGTGATTTACGGTAGTAGTACGAGAGCTTCTACTTTCTTATGCGCGATATCGTATTGATCATACCAGAATGGGCGGCACTTTCGACCATGCTTTATGATTCGAGCACTTCATGAGGCTGCAGTTCGCCTTGAATTCACCTGATGATCAGAAGGTGTAACCCCTGGTCTTGTTATTGTCCTGCGACTATCTTGTCCAGTGAAGAAAAAGTAATTCTCTGCATAAAGTTTCGTTTAATTTCTCTGTCGTTCCTACCTGACATCTACAAGGCTCGTTATTCTGTTAGTTACTACATGTGTTGTAAAGTTTTTTAAGTTTTGTTTGTAGAATACTAAGGAAGATGGCAAGCACGTCTTTCCGTTTGGTAAAGAAATTCTTCGCCAACTCGCTGTTTTGGGTGCATAAATACGTCAGTGATCGAACCGGATTGACGGTAACAATTGCAGACGTTGGTGGACCTCTAGTTTGCGGATTTTTCTGCCTTGGTAGGTGCTAGTTCGTTTAGACTCGTGCTACTGATCGATTTTCAGCAACAGAAGCGAAGGACGACGACGGCCTGCCACATACGTTGGAGCATTTAGTGTTCATGGGAAGTAGAAATTATCCTTACAAGGTAATGCGTTCATAATCTGCACTTGTGGACTTTAAGGGCGTCGACCTCTGAATTTTTATGTAGAATTGTCAGTCGTACGGTTTGATTGCCGTGATGGACAATGTACTGTTGTTTACATCGATCACGTTTTTAGCTGAAGGCTTGAGAATCAAAATGCAGGCTATTCTTTATTTTCAGCAAAGCAAACCCTGTGGCTCCAGTCGCATATGTTAATATGGTGAAACGATAAATCTGAGGTAATCTAAAGTTGTAAGTATAATCATTCAAAGATTCATTCACAGCTGGCCTTTAAAATAAGACTGTGTACACGTTTATTCCAAAACTTATACGAATTAAGGTTAAGAAGCGAATTTCTAAAATGGCTGCACAACTGACAAACGAAATCTCATCGGCAGGCATATGGTGCGCTCTGGGATTATAAATGATCTTCAAACTTTTACTGGCTTAATTTTGCCAGATTCGTATGTATCCCAATGGGCACCCGTAAAAGTATTATATAACTTCTTTATTCATGTGCATTGTTCGTCACGATAGAGTTTACAAAGTAGCGTTATAAACAGGTTGCCTACG